CTGGTGATACGTCCTTGTGTCCTACCGGTACAGGACCACCTCTGTGTGAAGGGTTCAAAAAGAGCTTGAAATGATCTGTCGGCATTTACTCTGCTAGTGGAATGCGGGTGGCAAGTTGACCAAGCAATGGCGAGGGCTTGGTCTGTAGGTGACGTGCCCTCTTCTTTCATACATCAGGCCCCTGGATAACCGAAGGGCCAGCGTAACCTTTGTGGCTGCTCTGACTTTAGCAAAGCCTTTCTCATGTCGTTCTCTTGCCATTAACAACTCTCTGCTGGCCATGAGGCCATTGCATGGGTAATGCCACGAAGAAGAGTGGGAGTGTATGAAGCTAGAAACAACGTTAAGGAGAATCCTCTGGTCAGGTACAGGCCAGTTATGGCTTGATGGGGCTTGTTCCAGGAAGGAGACTTTCACCTGAAGGTTGTGAGGCTTTGTGCCCTCCTGAGCAGCAGTAACTAATGTTTTTTCCTCCCTAATAAGCATGAATAATGAAGGTTCTGAAGCTTAAGTTGGATTCATAAGTAAACTGTGAACTGAGAGCAGAACTTCACTCATGTCACTTTATTAATATTGATCTGATTTCATTACAGTAGGTAAGTGATGTGAAGCTGAAACTGAGGTAATATAGAAGAATGGCCACTGTTCTTTAACCTGATACAGGACTTCTTGTTTGCAGTTTGCTTTTACAGCGCTGTCAGCACACCTATGGAGGTAAGCTATGTGTCCTTTAAATTGAAGTACTGGGGCAGGGCTGGGCATAGGACTTATAGAGCCTTTTTTCCATTCCTTGGAACACCTAATGTCAGGAATTGTTATTTGTTCTTTGAAGCAAAGACCTTTGGACAGCCTTCATAATGAAATAAGCACATTTGAGCCCTAGCCAGTAGCTTGGCAGGCAGGGAATTTTCTTGGGAAATACGACCCAGATCAATTTTGTACTAATAGACATTTTCAGGCCTGTGAAAATGAAGGATGTGGATCTGCCTGTGGAAAGGTCCATAACTGACATGACATTTTCAAGGAGCAGGAGTTACCAAGTGAGCTGACAAACCGAGCTGGAGAGCAGTGCTAGCACTATCATGCGTGTGGGGAGACCACTTGCAGTGACGTGGGACTGGAGAGCTGTTCCAGCAGGTCTGATGAGGGATCAGGACCCTCAATTATTAGGGTTACGGACACCAAGCTTCCATGAGTATGTGGCTGAGACGTGCATCTCAGCAAGACAGAGGCAGCAAAATACTATGAGGTTTCCAAATTTTAATAGCGCAGAGTCAGCAAGTCACTTTCCCAAGTCTCCCTCCTGCTGAGTGAAGAATCACTTGCTTTCTTTGCAAGGAAACAGATGGATGAAACTGCACACACCTTTCCTGGAGGGTAAAGGAAAAGTATAGTATTCAGAGCAGGGCAGGAGCCATGCTCCAATATTGCTCCATACGTTGAACCACTGATTCCCATAGCTTAAAGTAAGAATTTTTGCAAACACTGAATAAAAGCATAGCAATTTTCTGAGTAAGTGCAAGAAATGGCATTAATTATGCTAATGTTATTGTCTACCAAAGCTGCTTTCAATCATTTTTATATTCAATAGCATGCATCATTATGAATTGGTGATAAATATAGACGAAAAAAGGTAGTGATAATGAAAGTTATACAGGTGTAAATTAGAGCATATTTTTAAACTACTATGAAGTCACAGCTTCTTGAGATAACATAAAATTATAGGATATGTGCACATCCTAAATTGAATCCTGGAGAATTTTGTACTGTTCGTATGCTAGTTGATTACCGTTTGGGCCATGCTGTCTGGGAAAGTTACAAACCTCTGTTTCCATAGCTTCCTACTCCAAACCTTATTCTCAACCCCAAGGAGCCAGAGTGGGGACGGTACAAGCCATTGTGTGTCGGACATATTCAAGCCATGGTCACTTACTATTTGGGGAGCAGCTATGGAGGCACTGTAACCTCAGGTCCCCAGCCTCAGCCCTCTCCTCCTCAGTCCTGGAAAAGAGAATATAGAAGTAGCACCTTTAACAGAAACAAAGGCTGCTCCCAAATGTACAGAAATGGAAGGGTCAAAATCAATAAGAGTACAACATACCTGGGCTCCTCCATCTATAGCCAGCCAGGCCCATTATGGAGATCGTAATGGTCTCAGGAAGGACTCAGTTCTCCCCAATCTCGGGGGAAAGCTCATGTAAAGAGGCCATGGGGAATAGAAATGAGGGGCTCAGGGCTGCGTCTCTCCCACTCTTTCACTCTTGAGGATGAATCTAAGCGTCGGGGACTAACAGCATTGTACAGTACGTGTGTGTTGGAAGTGGGTATGTTGCTAGTGCTACACCATTTAAGTGCCAGTCCGTGTAATTTTCCAGAAGGAACAGCTCTGCGGATAAACCTTCCTGTTTAAAGTAGGTTTAATGCAGAATAAAGTACAGAATAAATCCAAGGCAGAACGTTACGCTCATCATTGTGTGCTATTGAAAGCTGAATAGTCAGATTTGAAATCCTTATCGATGTCCATATGAAAAGATCCTGGCTCTGTAAATGGGAGGTACTGTAGGTCAACAGCTTAAAACCTGTTCAGATATCTAGATGACCAAGGAGGAAATCAGAGCAAAAGGTTGGCATGTCTTTGGAAAGCATTGATATGATCTGCACAACATCTTATATGAGTACAATGGAGTTAGAGAAAGAAAACCGTGACTAAGATACATTAGAGAAATGTGCAAAAAAGGAAAAAATAGCATATGCGAATGATGATTTGAAAGTTCTGATTCTCATAGTGTTGGGAATAGTCCTGATTTATTATCTCTGCAATAGCTTTGGTCCTGCCGCCTGCTCCGAGCACTTCAAAACTGCGTTTTCTGTCCCTGCAGAGACATTTTGTCTGCACTGGGATCAACGGCAGTTTGAACTCAGTTCACTCTAGAATTTCACCTGCAGCATCTGCCTGGTGTTGGGCTGGTTTTGCAGATCAGAGTAAGGGCTCAGTGGCTCAGTCAGCAAGATAAACGTTGTGGAATCAGCTGCAATACCACAATGGGTGTTGATGGACAGCTGCAAGTTGGCAAATGCTGTGCTATGGAGGAGTGAACTGTGGAAGGCTGAATCTTCCAGATTTACTTGCTAAATTTGTATGTTGGTTTAACAGGGAGCAAAAGGCTGGATATCAGACTGAAGACAGGGCTATGCTGATCTCTAGGGTCCCTTCTCCCACCGGTGCCAAGGTGGGCTGACCTCCTAACCCCTGCCTGCAGTGGCTTCAGTTCCAAGGGGACTCAACGCCCCCGGTCTCACACGGCCTGACCAGGCATGGGGGCATTTCCAAAAGCTGCTAATCTTGCTCCTGGTGTCAACAGTAAAAGAGGACAGAGGCTAATTCAAGCTTTCTCATATCACTTTAATCACTTTTTATTTCTTGCTCAAGCTAGTGACGACCTCTCCATGGAGAGCTCACCTGGACTTGATTTCCACCCTATCAGGCCCCCTATCCCTGACCCCAGGCTTCAATCCTCATGTACTTTCACCTCAAGCCTCTACATTCCCTTGCCCCAGATCTTCCTCCCCATAGCTACACTCCTCCTCGTTCCAGCAGCTGTGGCTATTGCCCCAGGGCCTCCATCTGCCCCACGAACACCTTCTGCCTTTCCCCCAGCACACCGAAGAAGCAGAGAGGAAATCTGAACTGAAATCAGCTCTTCATCTGAAAGCAAAGTCCACCAGAGTTCTGGGAGCGGGGAAAGGTGTTGAGGAGTGGTTGAAACGTTTTTTTTTTTAATATAGAAAAAAAGGAAAGCAAGAAACTGGGGACAAACATAGGAAAGACATTCAATGTGAATAACCTAGCTGCACTGTCCCTTGCCTGAATGGATGTGATGACAGTGTCGCTGTAGCCAGTTGGTCTAAACGAGTGCAATTCTTGTGAATGTGTTCTAATTATTACACAGCCATATGGGCAAAGCTGCTAAAACTGCTACGTCTACTGATTTCCATCTTGCCTTCCTCTCACTGCCTTTTTAGCATCCCCAAACTAGACAGTTGCACATCTATTGGATGTTACACTAAGAAGGCTGTAGATTGAACAGTCTGGGTGCCCTGGAGTGGGTGCTGCACTGGAAGGGTTACCCCAGGCCCTGCTTGTGGGCCTTATTTTCTCACGGCCTTGCAGGTACTTGTGCAGGGTAGGGAGGAAAGGTGGGATGTCATGGATGACACCACTGTGGAGCAGCTCCATCTCGGCGGCAGCAGGCGGTGGCAGAGGGACAGCGGTCCTGGAACCCCTATCTGTGTGCTGCAGGGCATTACAGAAGGCAGATAGCCGGGCAGTGGAAGAGGGGGAGGTCCTGGCACGCTGACATTCCTTCAGCTGACTGTCACATATAGCTTATCAGACTATATCGGAGAGAACAAAGAATCCCTGTCCCTTCGACTTATCTGGAAGGATCCTCAGAGGAAAGGAAGCAGAAAGGCATGTGGAGGGATACCTCCTCTGCTAGCTGGGGTGAACTGTAGACAGCAGACCATGCTCAAGATCACATGGAGCAAGAGTATTCACATGAAACAGAGCAGAAAGAGAAATTGAGAAGGAAGGGAGAGAGATACCTAGTATGAATTGACACCTAATAAACTAAAAAATTGAAAAAGATGAGCAAAAGTTATAGACAAATATTCAGTTAAAAGGAAAACCAGAGAAAAAGGGAGGACAAACAGTAATAGGACAGACTGAAAGCTGACATGTTGCAGGTAATTCTACTGATAATTTTATAGAACACTTAATACATGAATAATACCTCCAAGCCTGTATCATTTACTCGTTCTGCTTAGCGTAACTCAGAGGGCTATCATATCTTTTCTATCTGAAGAGCTATAATATCTTTTGATTTTATAGTGTGAACTACAGAGTCTGTTTTGTCTGGAATTTTCAAAGTATCCCAGGCCTGGGAAGGAAATAATTGTTGAATATAACACCGTGAATCTCTGATTTTTCAGAGCTGTTGCCGTGTTTTCCCAGTGATAGAAACGGGAAGATGCTGCGCTGTTGAGAGACAAAGTCTGTGTCTCTGCAGTTGCGGGGGGGCAGAGGCTGAGGCTGTCTCTGGTAAGCAGGTCTGCGCCTTGCTTGGGCTGAGGTGTGGCCTTAGGGTTGGGTGACTGTACGCGCTGTTTAAGGTAGAGTGAAAACAGGCTGTGGAGCAGCATTTGGGGTCTCCACATACATTCATGGGATTTTAAAGGTCTTTCCTACGTTCTTCACAGCTGAGGCAGTTCTCAGAGTGCGGAGACTGCGGCTGGC